ACTACCAAGTATGGCTCTGCCTTTCAAGTTACTTTTATGGGTAAAAGTGGAAGAGATTCTACGAGAGATTACAACACCATTTTTATTGCAGTACGAACCTAATTTGCATGCATTGTCACATACTCAATGGCTGTAATCAAGAATAATTTCCCAACCATTTTGGCATCCTCAGGCTATCAAACCTAAACCATTTCTCAAGCTAGGGTGTACCCAAAGAGGGAAAAGCAAGGCCATTTCCCCCAAGTTTCTAAAACTTTTGTTCATTTCATCATTCAGACTATGAAGGCTTTAACGATAAGAAGCTCCCCTCATGCATACAACACCCCCCCCAAAAAAAAAAAAAAAAAAACCCTTGTGGGCTGGGGTGGTGGACCTCCAGCCCTCTTACCATATTATCAGCATTTTCTTATTTGCACTGTGAACCACATTTCAAACTTCCACTGCCTATGTTGTAACAATCAGTTTAGGGCTCCACTGTCTGATATTTACGTTTTTGACCTGCTAATTGTCATGTTAATCTTAAGATTCATCATATGGGGTATTGAAGTTGCCTTCTTTGAAATTCAGTATTGATCTATACTGGCGTTACTTCTTTCTCCAAGTTCTGTATTACAGGAAATTAAGTAAGCAATATAAGTGGCATGACATACCGGTTTAACTCTGGTTTGGTAATAGCTAACTACTCTATATAAATTCAAATTCTAGAGCATACCTTATCAAATTCTATAGTGATTACAGCTGACCTCACACCACACGGAAATCTCAAGGTCATTTCCATGAGTCCTGGGGACACCTTGTCTTCAGAAGGAGAAACATGCATCTTCTCTATGATATCTTTTCCAGATTGCAGATGTTCCTCTACATACACTTGTAGTGTATGATAATATACCTTCACATACCAAGGCACAACTTGGAAAACATCAACCCGCAGCCTACATCCTTCATTAATATCAGCACTTTGGACACTATTACCACGTACAGTAGGCTTCAAGGAAATAGCTATAGCACCCCTCTCATTTCCACTTCCCATTAAGAACCTGCTAGCATGTAATGGTGCCTCTGGACATGACCAAACTACAGTAGACTTCCACCAGAACCCCAAATCAAATGGCTTTGAGTAACTGTAATTCTCCATCGAGTATTGATATAGAATAGATGGGCTCTCTTTATTCAAGTTGCATACTTCTTTAAATACCAAGTCTGGGGAAACTGATAATTCAAAGCCCGGGTTACTCCAAGAGACTTCAAAGGAGAGACTCTCATCAACAGACCTTTCATTCTTATAACATAGCTCGGTCAATGCAGAGACCAATCGCTGCTCAAGTTGCACATACACATTACTGGATTTGGCAAGTACACATCTTCCACCAAGTTTCCTTCCAAATAAAGAGCTAAGAGACCAACTTGGTTGTGACATTGGGCCGCTGGAATATGTCACATCAGTTCCCATAGTACTTGGTTGAAGAACGATTGTAAGGGTTTGTTCAAGCACTATCCCAGAGTTCGAGCTCACTGAATCAAACTCACTTGAGGTCAAATGCAGCCGTTGAGAATGGTAGTATCCTCTGTAGATAGATGGTCTGTCCATCAAAGCAGAAATCCCAGCTTTGTCTCGGCAAGGAAGCAACTTCAACCAGGGAGTTAGGTTCTCAGTGCAAACAGCTTCACGGGGCAATGTACCATACCTTAAATTGCCTGAAACGGGCCGGAAGGCCCATTCAGGGGCAGAATAAGTAGTTGAAGACTCTAGGAAGTTGATTGAAGCACAAAAAAGACCCGAAAGAGCATGGGTTAGATTTTTCCAGGAAGCATCGATCTGATGATGAGGGACATCAAAGACAGCCCACAATTCAACTCCAGGAGGCTTTGCATTGCTGCTTGATATGGGGTCATATCCACCCCAGCGTTCATAATTCCATCGACCTTGTGTAAAAGACAACTCCATCTCCCGAACTCGAAACTTGTGGACCTGTTCAAACAACATAAGGTCGTCAATCACTTTGGGTTTCTCAAAGATAAAATAACAATAAATATCATGAAGCTGTAGCCAATTTATTCCTACTCCACTGGTTAAAAAATTCACATTTAGCAGAAAAGAAACAATATAGATTGCCTAACTAAACAGGATTACTGCAGTCAATCAGAAGTGAAATGACTAAGATCTAAGACCGTAATATAAAATGAGTGCATGAACCTTACTTTGCACTAATACACATTTTGTATGGCATTTACCATAAAAGAGGGGAGCTCATGTGGGCATGTGATATGTTAGCCTACAGAAGTTTACAGGATAATAACAGCACAAGAACACCATTGACTGTCTCGGAAGGTTATTATCACCATTCACTGTCATTCCCTGACTTCAGAATATAAAAACATGTTACCCCCTTTCCTTGGTATTAAAGTTGGCATCCCCAAATTTTAACACCACATAATGTTGAAACCTTGAGGAATCTTCTTGTCATTTACACTGAAATGCCATATGTCTCTATGAATAACTAATTCCCCAGCCAATGGTTCAAAAAGCAATTGCAGCAATAAATTTGGGACCTTTAGGTTCCACAAGTATCGAAAGATATGGACTGGAGCAGAGTTCACATCGAGGGAACTGTCCACCAAAGTGATCAATGGGCCAATTATCCTTTACTTGACCCTTGGTCATACTTCAATTTATTTAGACACAAACCGGAGTTAAGAGAAAATAAAATCAACTGCATATATCAAGATTTTCATATGTAGATACAGAAGCATATGTTTTGGGCCAAGCAACTACCTCAATCTTTAAAATTCAATGGCGGACCCATTACAACTCATTATTTTTAGCTTGGGAATTACCAAACACGTGTTCATTTATTACTTGGTATACATCTTTTGCCAAGATAGTAACTTACCGCTAAACTTCCTAAGTTCCAAAAAGAAAGTACAGCAGAGCACCAACTGTGGTACTCTCAAAGCATCCCGATTTCATCAATTTGTGAACCCTAGAATCAGGTCACTGAACTCAATAGTATCACAACAACCGTTAAACCCTAGAAACCCAACTTTATCTTTCAATTTCAAATCATTCAAAACTGAACCGGAAAAAAAAAAAAACACACACACACACACACACACAAGAATCCAACACTACTCAAAACAAAGAACATAAAAATTTGTCCCCTAAGAAACAGGGAAATTAATAAATGAGTAAATTAAGAGAAGTATTCAGTTTCTATGCGTGCACATCTGAATCAATAGATTACCAGCTGATATATGGCTTTGGGAAAGAGATGGTGGTGGTGGCCATAGGTGTCAGTCGGAGGAACTCTGGTATCGAAGTGGAAATGGGCGAGCACTTTCCGATCGGGCAATGGTCTTAAAAGCAATTCTTCTGAGAACTCTTCGTCTTGTTCTTCTTTTCCAATTGAGTTAGAGGCAAATAAGAGCAGAAAGAACACGATGATGGATCTTAAATGCGCCATTGGCGGCCTCAGTGTCCTACGACATTGTTGTTGGGTTGCATCGATAACGATCCGCCATTGAAGAAGCTCCAAATATTTTCAGAAAGCACACAGAATGACACTATCTATGGATCAAGCTTAGAACTTAGGAGAGTCTTAGACCCACCCATTGAAATTAGGGCAACCAGGACCGTTTGGGCGTATCACTGGGTCGGATCATGCCCTGAACCCGCAGTTTTCAAACGGTACCGTTACATCGACAGTTCGACACAAGACGATTGGGACATTTATGTGCAGGATTATTATCAGGCACTTAAGGATAATCCGTGCCTGAAACAATGTAAATCGATTGATTAATTTGGAGAAAGGAAGAATAAAAATCTCATGGAGAGAGTGAAGAGTGAGAAAGGAAAGTAAAATTTAATATGAATGATTTTAATAGAGATGTTAATGGACGTTAAATGAGTATATTTGAAAGCGTCGGATAGATTTATTGAACTTTACCCTGTATTATATTATTGATATAGATTATAGATGTCAATGGATCTGATTTAGGTTGGATTATGACTAATTTGAATTTGAATCCGATTTCAAAAGACCAATTCGAATTCAATCCAATAATTCGGTGAATTTTATTTTCGTGATTCACATCTAAATCCGTTAAAAATCTGAAATTCGATCTGAATAACTTAATTAACCAAATTCTAACAAATTATACCTAAATTTTAACTAAAATTTTTTAAATAATTATTTAATTTCTTTAATATATATATATATATAATATATAAATAATTTCGATTGGATATAGGTATATCCAAATCCAAATTCATGAAATAAAAAATTTCTAATTCAAATTAGAATTATTAGTAAAAAATATTAATTCATATTTAACTAATCAAATTCAGATTCGAATCAGAACTTGATCCATTGACCAGTCTAATTATTAGAGGCAATGAATTCATTTTCACAAAAGGAAAATAAAATTTGAATTATGTAAGATTAATATTGAATACCTATTGATTCAATCAAGGAGTATGAACAAAAGTCTCATATACTCATGATTTTTGTTAATGTTTTTAGAGTGGAATTTATTTGTCATGAACTAAAATATTAAAATTAATAACATCAAAGTTAAATATTGTACTTGACACACAAGACTCTTCCTTATGATGGGATTGGTGAGAAATACATAGTATAGAAGTGCTACCCTATTTTATAAAAGTTGATTAGAAACATGACTCAAAAAAACATAATTGAAAACAACGTAAAATAGAAAACTTGACAAAAACAAGAATAAAGGTGGTGGAAGACATCCATAAGTGAATTTATATGTTTTAATGAATAAATTCGATTGCAACTTCAAATATAAAATTAAAAAGAATCAAATAAGAAAGGATACTTTGAATTATATAACTATAATGAAATTAATATACAATCAATCAACATTTATCGAATTTGAAAAAAGATAAGAGAAAATGACTTGACCCTCTTATTTTTTTTTCCCGATCTCATCTTTTTCATCTTATAGGCCTTGCTAGAGACCTGAGCATTGTGATGCAATTACCATTGTGAAAGGCACTCGGGGGGAGGAGTGGGATACCTAGGCCTATCACCACAATAATCATAATTCATATACTTTGTTCTCACAGCTTCATATGCTCTCTGCTGATTAGAGTCCAATTTCCAATAATTTCTGGTGTTCCACCAATATTTAGAGGATGAACAATGCTGAATATTGGAGTAGTAGTTGTGATTAATAGATGGGCAGCCATTAACATTGAATCCTTGGAAGTAGGCTTTGAATGGTGCATGAGACCAGTTAATCTTTGTATTCCCTCCATCTGTTGCCCAACTATCTCCATTCCATAAGCTTGCCTCTATTTGCATTGGCTGTGAAGGGTAGCTAACTCCAATGTTTGTGTTGTTCTTGAACACTCTAATGGGGATGTTGTCCACAAAAAACCTGAAAATTTCAATACATGGTAGGTTGAGTCACAATTTATTTGAAAAAAAATCAGCCACAATTCTATGGGGTTAAGTTATGACTTTTAAAAATAAAAAATTAATTCTAAAAAGACAAGATTGATTTTAAAATAACTTTTTATTATCTGAACCTCACAAATTGACTCATAATATCAATCTTATTTTGTAGCAACTTGTGCTACAATATTGAAAAATAATTTCAGGACTAATAATTGAGTCGGGTTACTAGGTTTTGACTTAGGTTCGACTCGTTGAATAATTTTTTAGACTTTTTTAAAAACGAGCCTAAAAAATTCGATTTGAACTTATAAAACTCAGCTCGTTTATATTTCAAATAGTCGAACTACTTGGGTTTGATTTATTTGAGCTCAACTCGAGCACAACTTATTTTTTAAATGAATCAAATTTGAATAATTTTTTAAGTTCGTTTAAAAAACAAACTCGACAAACTCGGCTCGATTATCATCCACTCTGTTGTGATCGTGCAACAATTATGGTGAATAGTAAGGAATCAAACAATTAAGAAAGCAGAGAAAATAACCCACAAAGATTTACGTGGTTCGACAATGTGCCTACATCCACGAGAGTGAGCGCCGTTCTTTTTCATTATTCAAAGTAGGGTTACATCTTCAGTATTTATATAACCCTAATACGGACGTATTTACAAAAATATCGTTGTACCGTACCGCGGGGGCACGCCCCCGCACCCCCACTAATCAGCATTCAACATCTACCTCCTTACCATTATGCACACAACAAATATGAGCCACACATACTCTAACACCCTCCCCCCCATAGCCTCAACTTGTGTGTGTGTCTGTGTGAGAGAGAGAGAGCATATTCTTACACTATGAGATGGTGGTTCCAAAGAATTTTATAACTATGAAAATCTGCAGTAGGGTCGAACCAGAGAAGGGTCCTTTGCTCTCTATTTCCTTGCCCATTGGAGAAAACATTGGTTTGCAATGTGTAAGGTTTACCTTCTCTATTGCCCAAGAACTCAAAGTCTAGCTCATCACGATTATGAGTATGTGAAGTTAGCTGCAACAAATTGAATCAGCAATATTATTAAAGAGAAAAAAATGATTACATACATAAAGAGTCACCAATCTTCTCGAGAAAATCTATCTAAAATGAAATGTAGTTTAGGCATGAAGTATTTTACATAAAAAGCTGTGACAACTCCTGCAGAGTCCTTTTCTGGTTGCTTTATCCTTAGATGGAAGAACCCGGATCCATAGCTTAGTTTCGACCCGAAGCCAGCCCCTATGATGCACAATTAAACATTTCCAAAGGTTAAAACCGAAAAAGAAATCCACACACATATATATATATATATATATATGTACATGTTTGAGCTCTCATTCTGACTCAATTCTAGAGCTGGATATCCAGTGATGGGAGCTACACACACACACGAGTGTAAAGGACATTCCATCGCACGATATTACTGCAGTGTACACAGTCTTACTCCGAGCCCAAGATGGCAGCATTAATGCAAAAGCTTGAGATTATATAGGATAAGTAATAGGGGAAAAATAAGGAATTGCCATTCATTCTAATTTCGAGAAATCCATAAGGGTTGTTAATAGAATCATGTTATAATATGGTCATTGTTGGTGTCGGGAACTTTCTTTCTTTTATTTTGTTATTCCCACAAAGCCAAAACCAGAGAGAGAGAGAGAGAGAGAGAGAGATGTTTAACTATCTGCCATAAAGCATCATGAACACCATTCAAAAATAAAAGATGAAGAGTAATATATGTGGACCCATCAAAGAGAAAGAAGAATAAGAGAAACGAAGATTAACCCGAATAATTATCCATTGAGAGCTGGATTTCTCTTCCTTGGTTTGAAGACATGACATGATCATAACCCCAAGTAACATTATAATTGACATTGAAGCTTATATCACTACTAGCTTTACTAGCTAGCACCCCTCCAAGTAGGAGAAATGCAAGTAAAGTACTCATGATCATCAAAGGAAAATCCATCTAAGATTTCTGTGTTGTGGCCTTTCTAGGGTTTACATAGTAATGGTTCGGATATCAGATTTCAAGTGGCCATGGAAAAGGCAAGGAGAGTGTGAGCTATCATCTTCTACCTTTCCCATACGCTATTGATTTCTCCATGCTATAACCCATGTATAACAAACTGTATCATAATGGTTTGTTCGGAAAGAAGCTAGTCCGGTGGGTAAGAATTTAAATTTTTTAGCTTAATGTTTGGGTTTGAGTCTCCACAACTGTAAGCAGTTCGGTGTGACTAAATTTATTTTTCAGTGCCCAGAGTTCGAGATGAGATCTTAACTTCGACTACAACGTAAGTGCGGTAAAATCTCTTATAAATAGTTATGTGATATTGAGGAACAATGCATTTACCAGATATGTGAAGTGATCTAACTGCATATCCTCTCGTAGATATGTATCTATACATATGTATAGGAGATTTTGGTATGATTCTATGTTTGAAAAAATAGAGTTTAGGAGTTTCCTTATTTATGATAATTGCTTCCATTAATATCACCATTATCACAAAGAATAAAGATGATGGTACTTTAGTGGTAACTTTTCTTAATGGAGATGGCACATAATTTTGCATAGTGACTTTTGTAGTTCATGCGTGTCAAGGAATAAAATGATCAAGGAATATATATATATTAGTTATTGTTTATACCTGAAAACACAGAATAATAAAAAATGGTATACAATAAATATATTTATATTCATATCTAAAATCAAATCACAAACATAAAGAAGAGATAAAGAAATTTAAGCATCGATTTGTAGTGGAAGAGAAAGGTGGTGGGCAACAGTAGTAGTGGTAGGAAAAGGTGATGGTTGTGGTGGGTGACAATGACTGTGGTGATGGTGATGACGACAACGACGATGGCAACTACGGCAATGGTGGCGATAGTAGTGGTGGTGGTGGCGGGGGGTGGTGGGAGTGGGGGTGGGGGTGACGGCAACGGTGGTGGTGGTGTAGCTACAACGGTGGTGGTGATGGTGGTGGCGGTGGCGGTGACGATGGAGGTGGTGGTGGCGGCGATGGTGGTAGAGGTAGTGGTAGGGCGATTTCATACACTATTTTTTTTAAGTATTTATGAGAAATAATTTTTAAAATACTTTTAAAAAATCACTTCAAACACACCCTTATGAGCTTATTTTTCCTATTAAATTTAGGATGTTAATATTAGTCGTTAGATTAACTTAAAGTAAAATTTAAAACGATCTTTACCGTAAATAGCAAAAATCATTATGTTTATCTTTTGAGATTTGAATTATAAGCTACTTTATATATATATATATATATATATATATATATATATATATATATATATATATATATATATATATATATATATATATATATATATATATATATATTTAAGGGGTTGTTTGGTAAGTGGAATTTGGGGGGAAGAAGAAAGGGGACTTTGGAAGATAGGTTGGGAAAAAATAGTTCAAATGACACACAAAACTCATATTTGGCCAAAATTTTGAAGCTTGGATTACCAAGCCTAGCCCGTTATTGGCCCCGACCTTAAACTCTAAATTATGGGTATCATCAAACCCATGGAGGGTGGGTTTCGAAATGAGGGTTAACGGATTTAGAAAAAAAAAATTATACCCCACGTACACACAAACATGGGTTTGGATTGGATTAGTGAATGGACAAAATAGTCATTTATATATAAATATATTACCATAATAGTAATATATCCGAAGGCATACCAAACATGAGTATGAACTGTATTTAATGTTGAATCTCATTTTTGTAAAAAGGAGTTTGAGTTTGGAAGGGTTTGAGGAAGTCAATTCAATCTCTCCCTAAAAATCCATCAAAACAAACCCTAAGTGTGAAGCATGTTGAAGCTATGGCAATACTTACTAGGATCAAATTTGGTATGTAGTTAGACTTGAATATGGTTACTTTGGAAGGAGACTCAAGGAATGTTATTGAAGCAATTTGCAAGAGAGATCTAAACATTATGATATTAGGATCTTCGTTGATCAGATTCATATTTATGTGGATCAATTAACTGAGTTCTCAGCTAAATGGATCAGACGAGAGAGAAATTCTATGGCCAATGCATTAACTAAATTTGCTAAAATGAGATATTGTAGACGGTCTCTATCATTTATTTTTCAGAGTTTCATTTACAGTTTAGAACTGGCGATGTATTACTTGGATGAATGAACCCTATCATTTTTCTTGATTGAATCTCTTTAAATGTTTTCGATGTATATACATGTGTAGTGTCACCATGGTGTACAGGAGCAATTTTATTTGTGATGTTCATGGGAGACCTAAAAATGTGTTTGAATCCCTTTCGAGGAGAAAAAAAAAGTTTGTGATTGAATCACCTTGGATCATTGATCTATTCAATTCAAGAGCTTGTTAATCTGTGATGAGGTTGGGGTTGTGACACACTTGAAGCTCAAGCTACTAATGGTGATCAGACCAGATCAGATCTTTTCATGGAGTAAGGAATGTTTGGGGTGGACAGGTGCCATTAAGTACTAGCTACTTCAAGATATATGGAGACATCGACAATGTATGTACTAGGAAACCTAGTTAACTATCCCAACAATGTCGGTGCCCCCAGAGAAACCATGCCTCGTCCCAGTTGCTTGGTGCCCACCTTGCCTCAAGCCCCTTCACCTCTGGCGCCTACTTTGCCCACATTGGCATCTCCCTCATTTTCTGCAGCTCTTGGATGTGAGCCTCCCAATTGCCGAAAGAACAGCCAAACTCTGTTTTTACTCTCACGCAATCAGCTTCAGTCTCCAATTTAGCGACTTTCTTGCCAATCATCAAAAGTTTGGCCTACTTTGCCTCTGCTCTCGCTCAAGTAGTATCAGTCTCAGCTTCCAATGTCTGTCTCAAGAGGTACAGCTCTTTCGCGAGCCACCCTCAACTCCTTCTCGATAACCCTCTATGTCTGTCTCTCCCTCATTAAAGTACCTTGAGAACTATGATTTTATTCATGCAGAATGAAAGTTGTCCTTTCCCATGAATGGAACATGGCGCATGAAAATTCTACTTCTTCACTAATTTATGGTTAAAATTCAAATTCAGTGGAAAACAAGTATTTTTTAGAAAAATTCGATGCCCAAACCATCGTAGACTATTTGATTCTGTATATCTCGAAAAAAATATTCGGATTCAAAAAATAAAATTGCTTCAAATGGGCAACCGAACTCAAAGTTATGATCGTTCAAAGTTTTGTCATTTCTTCATGTTTTTCTCATACTCCATCAATGCCAGTAGCCACAGCCAAGTGCCCAGCACCCAACGCCAGCAGCTAAGCACCCTCCCGCCTACGCATCAGCATCCTTGTGCCTGCAAGCCCTCGTGCCACCATGCCAGCACCCACACCTCACCCGCTCGCCAGCATCTGCGTCCATTGCCACATCTCACCCGCGTGCCTTGCTTTCTGATGCCTACGCCCTTAGCTCCCTACAGCTAACATCCCAACGCTCTCTACTCCTCACCTCCTGCACACATTGCTCCTCACCTCCTACGTACTTTGTTCCTCTCTCGCCCATACTCAGCCTACTAAAAAAGATACCCATGAATATTTCATGCACCCTCTCCCAAAGTTTCATTAGACTCCATGCATGAGGGGTAAATGGCGGGTTCTGCCCAGATTAGACACAGACTAAGTCCAACTCAAATATACAGGCCAAGCCCACCATAAAATCAAGGAAGCTCAGTCAAGTCAGCCTCTCCATTTTGAAATACTCGGTCCACAATTGACACACGAGGAGATCTCCGTGGGACATAGTCATCGGGTGTACGTTGCTACCTCCATGCAACTTCCTCACCTGTTATGAGAATAGCGCTTCAATCTATTAAGAGACGCCTATAAATTGTAAACTCCACCTATACAAGAGGAGCATCTCTCACATCTGAACAGTCTACATTCCTTGAACAATAAAACATTCAGGTCACCGTAGCCCTTCATAGTGGATAAGGTCACTCTGAGTGAACCACTTAATTTATGTTTACTTGTATTGAGTATCCTTCTTAATTATTGCATTAAATACTTGATAGGTTGTATATAAACACATTTTGTGCGTCACCAACTATGACTTTACCTATTTAAACTGGCGTGAAGTTTCTAATAGTGATTGTTTAGATGATTGAAAGAATCGTAAGACTACCTATATATTCTTTTTCTACCTTGGAGATCAAGGACTTAAACTTATATTTTCATAATAGACTAACGAATTGAGATAACAAAGATGAAATAAAATTGAAATGAACAACAATGAGCATGACAAGACAGAACTATTGTATTGAATATTGTGCTTGAAATAAAATAAAAGAAGTCATCGTGGTGGCGACGATGAATAACAAGAAAAATGCAGGAAACTAAACAGTACAGAACGAGTTTGATATGGTATTTGTAAGAGTGTTGAACGAGTCCAATCTCATAAGGGTATCTAACCATTGAAGCCATCATTTCCAGTCACTTAAACATGTACTCATGGTCACTTTTTTCAACAGTTATAAATGTGTCTTAGGTCATCTATAACTGACGGCTCCATGATGTTATGTTCTAACACGACTCTCCACTTCTCAAGATGTTTGGAGATCCTTTCTCATAACCACCTTATCATCTTGGACTTTCTCTGACTCAAATTTGACCGTTGGATTACACCATGTGTGCTTCTCAAATTTGTTCATATTTTGATGTAAACAATTGCAAAAAAAAAAAATTTAAAAAGGAAAACAAGAACACGAAGACATAAGGATATTGCATATCAGCCGATGTCAAATAGTTGAAAAAACAACTTTTTCAGTTGAATTGACAAGATAATTAGAATCATGGTAATCACTATGTTGTGCTGATTCCCCCATTTCACTCTGAATAATCTCAAGTAATTTTGTTTCAATCAGCAAATACAAAATCATTAAGTAGAATAGGCATGCTACCATACCAAACCAGTCATATGGGCCTAAAAAATACTTCAGATCATACTAT